AAGTCTAGAGACAAGCCCCGGCTTCCGCACGGAAATCTATTGAATCTTTGAGCTCAGTTTCCACGTTGCTTGAAATCAACGGACAGGGTACAGACGACGGGACCGTTTAGTTAACTTAAATGATATTGTCAGCTGCTTCGTCCTGCAGACAACTTGAATTTCGGCTGTCTATGCCCAGGTGCTGATGTGCCGCCAGGTGGAGCAACTTCCGGACGCAGGCGACAGCATGTTAAAGGCGGATCGGTGTCTTGAGGATGTACTTGTAGAGAGACCCCAAAATACACTACCTCTTGTGGTTAGGATCCTACATGCCAGAAAGTAAGGTAACCAACAACAGGCAGTACATTCCAAGGTCTCGGGTACACGTGAAAGGTGTGTAATGCATTGCCAACACCACCAAGGACGACCGCCATTTTCAGTACGACTCACCATCACTGATCGCCCGACATCTTCTGCCCTAGTCAGGTTGAAATAGGCTTGTGCCCTCATCTGTGCTGAGCCATCTGGCTCCGGCGCCCGTGGCGGGTTTCAAGAGCCGGCCTCTGCTCCTCCTTTCTGGAGCGGAACTTGCCATGGCTAAGGCTTTGCTCGCTTTGCCCTCATGACAGACAGCATGGATGGCCGCGTGGTGGATCCCGGGGCTGTGGAAGCCCAGGCCGTCGAGCTGCCCTTCCTCCGGGACTTCTTCGCCAAGCAGGGCACCAACTTCGTGCGCAGCTACTCGAACAGCCCGCAGTGCGTCCCGTCGCGCAGCAGCATGTGCACCGGGCGGCGCACGGACCAGATCGAAGCCTGGTCCAACGAGAAAGGCCTGGCTGCCTCGGAAGATGGGACACTGGATAAGGCTTGCATCTACTTCTATGGCGCCGAGCAGTGCGCTGCCTGGGCGAAGGTGCAGAACCACTCCGAGACCATCTTCTCGGGCTTGGAAAGACTAGGCGCAGACTCTCTGGGATGGTTTTTTATTGGTGCAGCAGGGGGAGCACCCAAATGTTGCGTACTAGAGCTCGTTTTCCTTCCAAGTCCGTTCGACGGTGTAGTGTACGGCAACACAGGAGTTCTGGCTAAAGTGCACTCCGCGCACTGAGGCTTCTCTCAGGAGGCTGCCTTAAAAAGACCCAAAGCTTCTGATTGGTCGGTCTGTGGGCTGTTGTTTCCCTTTGTTTGACGCTGGAGAAGGGTGAGCTTGAGGGTCAGGTTTGGATGTCTTTGCTCTTGGAATTGGACAAAATTTTTGACAGGCTACGGGGTGAAGCTCTATGGGAAGGTGGACATCGGAGGTGGGTTGATGAATGATCCGAAAGTCAGAGAATCGGTTTCAGCCAACGGCTGGCACCGGGGCGTGAGCCGTGGGATCGTTACCCGCTCGGCTGACATCCGCCGGCCAACTAAGGGAGCACCTCTTTCGCTGACTTCCGACACGCAGGACCATGTGCACCCGGAGGATTGGAGAACAGTTGACCGCTGCCGGGGGTGGATTCAGGGCTTGCCGCCCGCTGAGTAGAACACAGAGCCCTTCTTTCTGTACTGCTCATTGAACATTCCCCATCCGCCATTTCAGACAAATGCGACTTGGCTCGCCAAAGTCAAGGAGGACAAAGATTCTACTGCCAAAGTGGCTACCAGGATTCCCGCAAGAGTGGCACCCCTATGACAGCTACATGTCCATCTCCAAGCACGTGGAGGAGATGAACTACACCTCCGAGGAGATCCTGAAGGTTCGCAAGACCTACTATGCCATGTGTGCTGAGGCGGATTATTTGCTGAATCGGGTCTGGGAAGCTTTGACGAGTAAGGGCTACGGTCTTGACAACACCTTCGTAGTCTACGTCTCCGATCATGGTGAGATGAACATGGAGCACCGCCAAGTTTGGAAAAACTCGATGTATGAGGGATCATCTCGGGTCCCCTTTGCCATTGCTGGGCCGGGTGTGGCCAAGGGGCGGCGCGTGACCCAGCTGAGCTCCTTGCTGGATGTTCTCCCCACTTTGCTGGATATGGGGCAAGAGACAGACTGGGAAAGGCATGCGGAACTTGCAGGCAAGAGTGTCCTGCTGCTTGCGGGTGCACCTTCTTCGGCGCCCCCACAGTTGGTTGTGACTCCGGGAGCAGACCGAGCTGTCGTGTCACAGTACCACTCCAATATGGGCAACACAGGTTCCTTCATGGTTCGCAAGGGTCCATGGAAATATATCCGCTTCGGCCACACCTTGTCAGCGTTTTCGCCGCAGAGGTACGTGCCACTGCTCTTCAACGTCGATGAAGACCCGAGTGAGACACAGAATCTCGCTGGGCAGCATTCGCAGATTCTGGGGCAGCTTGACCTGGAGCTCCAGGATCTCTTTGACCCAGAAGACGTCGACCGCCGGGTGAAGTCGGAAGACTTCCGCCTCTACCATCGCTTCTTTGTCATAGCTACATGTTTAAGGGTACTTAAACCCAATAAGGAATAAAGATGTAAATCTTTAACGTTATCCCAACAATGAACTAGGCTTCTTCGGCTCCTTGGATCAGAAGCAGCTCCGGAAGAAGCTGGAGCGAGCCTACGCCGGTTTTGACGCGGAGGATTTCAAGAAGATTCAGCTGTGGGCGAAAGAGCTCGCGTCCTGGGGGGTGCCTGAGCTGCTCGTGGTTTAGTTCGCTGCGAGCAGTATCTGTGAAGGACATCTCGCTGCAGAAGCTCAATTCCTTGGACATCTTTTGTTTCTGTCTAGGTCGGTTGGACCGGACAAGCTTGATGTTTCGACCGTTTGTCTTCTCGTAGCCGCGGGCTCAGGAAAAAGCTGCACAGTTGCGCTGTTCGAATTCTTCCTCCCATCACCTAGTCCCCGGGTCAAGGGTGCCAAGCCTTGGTTGTCGAGCAAGCTTCATGGTCAACAGCACTCAGCAAGGCCTAAGTATGTGGGCCGATGAGGTGAAGGACTCAAACCTGCAGGTTATGATCATGGTCATCTTCAGCAGCATGAGCAGCATGAACCTCATGGTGCGCATGAACATCATGATGATGATCATCACCAACAGCAAATCGTCATCATGAGCATCACCATCGCCACCATGTGTCATGTCAGATCTCAGAGCTCCCTCTGCCAATGATCAGACGTCTTCTGCTCTCCAAAGCAGCGGCAAGTTTACACATGGTCTACGCTGGGGCCAGAGGAACCCTAAACCCTAAACCCTAAACCCTTTAAAGGAACCTTAAGCCCTTGGGGACTTGTGCTTCGTGGCCCAAGTGCGGCTGGGCAGGCCATGGCAGCGGATCGATGGCACGCACAGCTTGAATCGGAGTGCGGAGGCTAGGCGAATCTGGCTGCGGGTTCGAGTTAAGATGTCAAGGGGTTCGCAAACACATCCTGGTTGAGGATCTCAAGTTACTGGAGCACTGCCGTCCATGTACCCTGAACCCTAATTGAACCCTAAGCCCTCAGTGTTTCAGTGTACTGGAGCATAACGCAGCTTTTCCTCTGGTGCTGAGCCGCGCAGAGTGGGGTGTGCCGACCCTAAACCCCGAACCCCCCATAAAGATCACTGTAAAGAAGCACTCTGGAGCAGTTTCCCTTCGGCCTCTGCCGAAGGAGTTGTGCGAGGCCTCCATTCTAGCCGAATTCTTCAGATTCCGGGCGTTAGTTGTGCCCTAAGCCCTAACCCTAAACCCTAAACCCTAAACCCTGAACCCTAAACCCTAAACCCTAAACCCTAAACCCTAAACCCTAAACCCTAAACCCTAAACCCTAAGCCTAAACCCTAAACCCGAATACTAAACCCTAAACCCTAATACACGGGTGCCTTCAGGAGTTCACCGCACCTCTCCCAATCAGCATACCTCGTGCCGGCATCTCTACGTGAAGATGTTGGGTCCTTCAGAGACTGGATGCTGAAGCATCCCTTGAAATCTTGAAGGCCAACAACATGCGGACGCATGGGATTCTTTGCAGCTGCAGCTAAAAGTTCCGCAGGAACTATATACACGCTGCCTTGTGGTTTAGAGATATCCTGATGATTTCGGGTTTAGGGAATGCTTCTACTTTACGCCCGAAGCCTTAAACCCGAAACCTCAGGGCAAGGCTCCAAGGTTCGGACCAGGTCTTGAAACTTTACGCCTCCTTTTACGCCCTAAACTCCAAAAGCCCTGAACCCCAAGCCCGAAATCAAAACTGTGATCAGAAGCAGGGTTGAAGGGTGTAGGGTTTCGGGTGCCCTAAACCCTAAACCCTAAACACTAAACCCTAAACCGCCTGAAACTCCCAACCCTTAGAAGCTTCACCAGGCCGGCGTCCACCAGGGCAGCCCTGCGCCGCGCCGAGCATTTGGTTTGAGGGAGGAGGCTAGGTTCTTGGATGTTCAGGGTCTCAACTGGTTACCCTAAACCCTAAACCCTAAACCCTGAACCCTGAACCCTGAACCCTAAGCCCTAAACCCTAAACCCTAAACCCTAAACCCTACACCCTAAACCCTAACCCCAAACCCAAAACCCTGAAACCCTCAGGGCTGTGCAGGGTTTCGGAGTATTAGAGTTGGGATCCGCGGAGCACACTTGGACCTGCTTGCTGTGGGGTCTCGTACTTAGGTCAGCGAGGCTTGCCCAGAAGGTGCGGACTTCTCCCACACTTCCTGTGCGGGAGCCCAGTATTTTGCAAGCTGCCAATCCCATGCTGAAAGCTCGTTGGGCCATCGCTGTGTGAGAACATCATCTGAGAGAATCTTCTATCCTTCCGAGGGCCTTGGACACTCCAGAGAGATGCCGGCCGACTCAGCACTTGCCACGCATTCCAAAAGCAGCCGTTTTTTCGGCAAACACTTTTTGTTCTCCGCCCTCTGCCACCCCCCCCTGCCATCCTCGATCCGCCGCCATGGGCAGGATTCTCCTGACCGTTCCTATGACAGCATCTCGTCTTTAGGTCTGCTCTAGGTCTTGAGGTCTTGGGCCTTGTCCCTGTGCTCTCTGCCCCAGCTGTCACTTTTTGCTTTCTGCACCGGAGGCTCTCGCAGTTCTCTCGGCGGTCATGGGCTCCGCATTGCCCAACTCCGCCTGCGAGCAGAACGCACTGCTGCAGGTCACGAGCACCAGGCTCCAGGGGCCTTCCTTCCCAAGCCTTCCAAGTCTCCCAGGTCTTGTGCAACACGCCGCCGAGCGCAGTTCGCGGATGGACGAGGGACGACTCGAGGGTGTGAGGAAGGTGCACTCGGAGATTGAGGCCATGGTGAAGCAGCTGCTGACGGAGAAGAGTACAATGGAGACTGGGCGGAATCGCAGTGACTACAACCTGAGCAGCACCACCCTGGCGGTCCTCGACACAGTCAGCACAGAAATGCAGAGCTTGTTGGTGGAGATCAACGAGTCCCACATCGCGGATGAGCAGCTTCTTCTTGACCTGGCCCAGGCCTTCGTCCAGTGCAACACGGACCTCGCCCAGCGCCAGCTGCAGAGCGACAACCTCAGCAGCCTCGTGGCCAGTGCCCGCCAGTCCCACGATGCCTGCCGTGCGTCGGAGCAGAGCCTGACGGCGGCCAACGCCAGCTCATGGGCAGCCTATCTTGCTGCCGGCAGTGAGGCTCCCCCTGAGACGGTGAAGCAGTGCATGACGAACTTCGTCAATGGCCACAACCCAGAAGCAGTTGAGGACCTTGAGGCCATGACCAGCTGCGCAGAAACGATCCAGTCTTGGAGCTCTGACTTCGCAGCGAACATGACCAACCTGCAGAATACTTATACAAGTGACCTAAATGCAGTGAATCAGGAGAGAGTGTCTTGTCGCGTGAATCAATCGACGCTGGAGAGTCACTTCTGCGAGTACCGGCAGCAGCTTAGTGACAGCTGCATCGCCGTTGACAGCTGCCATGAGAATGCCAACGCGACCTGGCACGAGCTCCTCGTGTCCATCGCAGCCTCGGACGTGCGACGTGAATCCTCCTTCATTGCGGCCACAAAGGTCATCTGTTACATCCAGGTCCTCCAGTCGAACCTGACCCAGCCAGCAGTCCAGGAATGCCAAGACCTTACAGCCGACACCTCTGTGATCAACGTCAACATCCCCACGCCGGCCGGGATCGCGACCTGTGACGCCTCGCCCGTGGCCACCTTCCCCTGCGAGGCAGGTCACCCCGCATTTGTTCATGCAGCTTCGGATCTGCTTCGAATCTGTGACCTGGGGCTGCTTGTGTTCATCTTTGCACAATGCAGAACTCTCGAAGTTGTGGATCTTTTGGTTCCCGTCTTAGTAGAATGTAGAAGGACCAGCTTGGGGCCAGATTGAAGTCTTCTTGAACATGCTGAATGTCACGCTGTATCACGCTGTCGTTGGTAGGCAGCCTGGTTGGACATGGAGTACTTCAACAAGTCTTGGTACACGCAGCAGCCGCAGATCCTCCCCGACACCTGCCCCCGCCTCGGTTTAGGGTTTAGGGTTTAGGGTGTAGGGTTTAGGGTTTAGGGTCCGGCACTGTTTCGTGCTCGTGCATGCTTACGCTGTTGAGTGGCTTGCCCGCTCTTGAGGCATCAGCTGTGCGGCGCGGGTCACGACGACCACGACCACCCTCGCAGTAGTCGTGCCAGCCCGGAGCCCAGACCCATCCTGGGGAGAGAAGGAAGAGCGGGAGAACTGTGGGATAGAGTGGGATATCCCGCAAGATTTCGGAAGCTGCTTGTATCCAGCCGGTGAACTGGGGAGCTACCTTGTGTGCATTGGCGATCCGACTCGTCCCGGGTTTTGGAAACTTGGAAACTCCCCCTTCCGTAGAGCGAAGTTCATGTCGAAACTGTCGCAGCCCAGGACAACAGCGTGGCGGCTGTGTTCCTGTCCACCTGTGCCGTCACCAGCCAGGTGCCCACCAAGTTGCAGTGTGTCGGCGAAAGTTCCGGCGGACAATTGGGAGGCCCCGGCTATCCGGCCTACGTTGATCTGGGAAGTCGCACGGCAAGCCGTGTGTTCGGCCCTACTTGCTGCAGATTCTGCGCCCTCCTGGACAACGAGGATCTCAAGTGCTGGGGAGGCAACAGTAATGGGGAGCTGGGCTTGGGCGACACAAACCACAGAGGGGACACCTCCGGAGAGATGGGTAATTCCCTCCCCGCCGTGAGTGTGGGCTCCGGGCGCAAGGTGGCAAGTGTTTGGCGGACCCCACCACGTCTGCGCCATCCTGGACGACCAGTCCCTCAAGTGCTGGGGCCATGGAGCTAACGGCATGCTGGGCTTCACACCCTCCAATGGCCCGAATGTGGGTGATGCCCCGAATGAGATGGGTGACAACCTTCCCGTCGTGAGTTTCGGTGCCCTGGAGGGTAGCCACCAGGTGCTGGGTGGCTCAGCCTGGTGGCACGTGTGCGTGCTTTTGGACCACCCAGCCGAAGTTACACAGCTGGCGTGCTTTGGGGTGAATGGGGGTGAAGGGCGTCTCGCACGTGGAAATACAGACCATCATTCACTGACTCCCATGCCGGTTGATCTGGGCACCGGCTTTCATGCAGTGCAGGTTGCATGCGGCGAGACTCACACATGCGCTTTGCTCCAAACTGGCGCCGTGGCTTGGCTGCATCGTAGATTCTGTCGTAGATGCAAGCGATGCATGAGGCATGATGTAGCGCATGAGGAAGCACGCAAGCACCTCAAGCGCCTGAGGTGAAATGCTGGGGCGGCAACGGCAATGGCCAGTTGGGCAGAGGTGCCCCTGCCGTCGATGTCAACAACGTGGGTGCGAGCCCGGGTGACATGGGTGACAACTTGCCAGCCGTCGACTTGGGTACAGACCAGGGTGGCAAACCGCTGTGCCTGGGACGGGGGTTTTGGATGGTTTTGGATGTGGGACATAGGGGGATCCTGGAAATCAGCTGGACTTGTAAGCATCTCAGGAAAGCCATTTAAATTCTAACCCCTAAGCCCTAAACCCCAAGTGCATCTCAGGAAAGCCATCTACATCATGGTTGGTCACAGGCATTCGTGTGCCATTCTCCAGGGTGGGGCCGTCAAATGCTGGGGCAGCAACACGCTCTTTGGACCAAAGTCGCCTCGGGTTTAGGAGTGTCTTGGGACATCCTCAAGGATCTTAAAGGTGGACGCCATGGTAGGTTAGTTAGGATGCTTTGTGGGTGGACTGCTCCGTGTTGCTAAGGGAAGGGCAAGCTGGGCAGCCAAACAGCAACAGCATTGTGGGTGACAGTCCTGCGGAGATGGGCGACCACCTCCCGAGCGTCAACATCGGGGAGAACATGGTGGCCACGGAGCTGGTCGGCGGAGTGGCCCACACGTGCGCACGCCTGGAGGGCGGTGCGCTCAAGTGCTGGGGCACGGGCGGCAACTATGACTGGGCCAGCTTCCTGGCCCATTCAGCGCTACGAAGCCCCAAGAACTTTTCCCGGACAGCTCAAAACCAGGAAGCCCCAGCAGTTGTTTTTTCCAGTGTGCTTCCATGCCCACATTTCCCAGCCTCTGGGTTTCCGCAATCCGATGCCCTAAGCCCTGAAACCCGAAATCCTAAACCCTAAACCCCAAACCCTAAACCGTAAGCTGTCCGAGGTTCCCAGGCCGAGGCTCAAGGCAGGATTTGGCATCCCTTCTTAGCGTATCCTTTTAGCCTGAACTTTTGAGAACACTTGGACAAGGAAGCTACACAAGGAAGCAAACCCCAAAGGAGTCTTTTTTTGCAGCAAATTGCAGCGTCTGTGCCAAGGCTTCAACGCGCCTCTATGACTTGCGGACCTGCGGACCTGACGGTGGCGGCGGTGACAATAATTTTTAAGACACGTTTAAAGAGGGTCTTTCAAGAACCCTCTTCATATTTTAAAGACACGTTTGAGGTGAAGTTTTGGAAGTTTACGGGGGGCCCTGCCTACCTTGCACAGCTCACTCTTTGGTCGTGCTGCCTTTGTCGGGCTGCCGCAGAGACCAGGCTGCCACACTTGGCCCATTGATGTGCACCATCCCGGAGTGGTCATCTCATGCTTAGGGTTTAGGGTTTAGGGTTTAGGGTTTAGGGTTTAGGGTTTAGGGTTGAGGGTTTGAGAAACCACCTCTTTTCTCTTCTCCAGATCATAACCTCGATGCAGAGTCGAGAATAGCTTGACGCTCCTCCATTGATTCGATGCCTCGTGAAGCAGACAACAGACGGAAGCGCGCTTGTGGCACATCCAGCAGGAGCGGCGCTACGCTGCTCGCTTCACGTGTTTGTCTTAAGTTGGGAGCTTCCTGAGTCCACGTTGCGTGTAGCAGCCACTCCAGTTGCTGAGGCAACGGCGCCAAGTTCTGAGAAAGAAAAGGCACGCGGTCATGATGGATGCCAGAATGTCGCGGATATTTCAGGGAAAACTGTGGTCTCAACTGTGCGTTTCCAGCAAGAACACAGCAACAAGAAGTTGTGCCTGTAACTTTGAGGCGGCTGACCGCTTTGGGGGGAGGCCAAACCATAGCTGTTGTATGGAATCCAAATGACCGGGTTTAGGGTTACAGTAAATATTTATTGCAGATTCCACATGCGTGTGTTTCACATCAGCTTCGGACGAGTAGGATGTTTCACTTGTTTGCATCCGATGCTCGCCCTCAGGGGGCGTGGTCCTTGGAAAGTGGGTAAAAATGTGTGACCCACCCTCCTAACCCTGATCAAGGAGGACCTTGAACATGTTGCGTGGGGTGTGCATGCAAGCATCGGATAGCATCGGCTCATGAGCAGTCACACGTTTCGGATGCGAAGCTTCTTTACCCCTGTGTGCCAGCGTGAAAAAAGAAGGTGCAGGAGCGAGTGTGTGAGTCTTGTACCGCCTGCGCTGTTCGTTGTGCAAGCATTTGCGTTAGTTTTCGCGCGCGGAGCAATGAGCTGTGCAACGCTTTGTCCCGCACGCTTTATATTGGTGCCTAAACCAACCTTCGATGTGACGGAGCGTTGTTTGGAACTCCGACTTACTTTAAAACACACACACACACACACACACACTCTCTCTCTCTCTCTATGTGTATGGTGTGTAGGCATCTCTCGCAAGAAGTGCTCAAGCGGAACGAAGTGTCGAGCACATAAAGACTGCTCAATCGAGCATCATGTTTGGCGATGCTGCTCCGCGCAAGCTCGCAGTAGAAGATGTGTTCTCATCGCATCCCGTGAGGAACCGTTTCTTCACTGATGGGAAGCCGTTGCAGGAGACGGTGGAAGAATTGAGGAAGAACCCTCAGAAGGTTCTCCCAAAGATGAAGTTTGTGGAGTTTGATGGCAAAACGTGGTCAAGGAGCAACCGAAGGCTGGCCTGCTACAAGCATGCAAGCGTTGGCGAGTTCGTTGAAGGCGTGCATTTCGAAATGTACGGGCCAGACGAACACTTCTTCGGAGGGCTCAACAACAGGATCTTCTTTGCGAGTCAAGAAGACGTTGACACCAGGACATTTTGCAGTCTTTGTCAGCAGCAATTCAGTTGCCGTGTCAAGTATCTACAACATTGCGGGTATGCGCATGGTGTGGACGTCAGTTCGACATGCACCCATTGCGGAGAGAAGTTTCAAACCCTTTCCGCGCAGCTGGTGCATGAATGTGGAGTTGTCGCAAAGATGCTGAGTGGGCAAGACATGTATTGCACCCTTTGCAAGAGCGAGTTTCCAAGTCACTTCAAATACCTTCAGCACTGCAAGCAGACCCATGGTGTTTCTGTCGGTTCGCGTCAATGCGAGTATTGTGGACAACGTTTTGGGACCGGCGTTGGGCGGGCGCAGCACACTGAGCAATGTGCAGCGCGTCAGGAGTTGCTTCAAAAGGAAAGGACGATTGAAGCAAATCGTCTTCGTGTGACTGGGAATGAATTGACTTACCACATGCGAATTCCAATGACTTTGGCTGCGAAGATTATTGACGAAAAGCAGTACAAAAGGGATGTCATTGAGCGGAAATATCGTTTTGGCATTGCCGACATCAGCATTACACCTGATGTTGCCAAACCCGAGGAAGCTTTGCTCGAAGTCAGAGGCGTGAAGGAGGCGGTCAAGCATTTCAAGCAATGGGCTCAGAATGACATTCTCTCTCAGGTGCCATACAGACCTTTTCACGCTGTCCACTTTACCGTCAAGAAGATGCAAGCAGCGCGCTTGCTGAAAGAGTTCACGCTGGAGTTGGACAGTGAAGACATCAAGCTGATGACCGAAGCGTCTTTCTTGCACCACATCATGCAGAAAATCGGCATGAAGAAGATCCACTCGGTCAAGGCCCAATATGACGGCGAGGAAGCTGAAGAGTTTGACTTCTCGAAACTGGCCCTCCGCAGTGGTAGCTCTTCAAGGATCGTCCTCCTCGTATAAGCAGACGGTCCGGGCATGAACCACAAGTCGTTTCTGTATCTTTTGCTCATCAACCAGGAGGAGCTCTGGCAAAGCGGTGCGCAAGCAAACTGCTGCCAAGCTTTTCGACAAATACGCAGATGAAGCTACCTCAAAAAATCGCGCTGCAGCATTCCGTTGCCGTCTTGAGACTGTGCTAGCAGATGCATTCGCTTTTTCCATGTGTGTATGTGTGTATGTATGTATGTATGTATGTATGTATGTATGTATGTATGTATGTATGTATGTATGTATGTATGTATGTATGTATGTATGTATGTATGTATGTATGTATGTATGAATGGAGGTATCCGTATGCATGTATCCCATGTTGTTGCTCAGTTTATTTTCTATGTTGGCTCAGAGCAGGGCTGAGCCAAATGTAAGGGTCTTGCACCTCTAGGGAGCGCCTCCCTGAAACGAGTCTTCCATACCCTATATCGCGCACACCAATACCAGAAACTTTGGATTTTCTCGGATTGCGGGAGCTTTGAGCTACGCCGATCCCGAACAACTCGGAGGTAGGCGCCATGTCATTTGTGTTTTGAGTCTTTTCTTTTCTCTCTCTGTCTCTCCGTCTCTCTGTCTCTCTTTCTTTCTTTCTCTCTTTCTCTCTTTCTCTCTTCCTCCCATTCTCTCTTTCTCTCTTTCTCTCTTTCTCTCCTTCTCTCCTTCTCTCCTTCTCTCCTTCTCTCCTTCTCTCCTTCTCTCCTTCTCTCCTTCTCTCCTTCTCTCTTTCTCTCTTTCTCTCTTTCTCTCTTTCTCTCTTTCTCTCTTTCTCTCTTTCTCTCTTTCTCTCTTTCTCTCTTTCTCTCTTTCTCTCTTTCTCTCTTTCTCTCTTTCTCTCTTTCTCTCTTTCTCTCTTTCTCTCGTTCTCTCTTTCTCTCTTTCTCTCTTTCTCTCTTTCTCTCTTTCTCTCTTTCTCTCTTTCCCTCTTTCCCTCTTTCCCTCTTTCCCTCTTTCTCTCTTTCTCTCTTTCTCTCTTTCTCTCTTTCTCTCTTTCTCTCTTTCTCTCTTTCTCTCTTTCTCTCTTTCTCTCTTTCTCTCTTTCTCTCCTTCTCTCTTTCTCTCTGTCTCTCTTTCTTTCTTTCTCTCTTTCTCTCTTTCTCTCTTCCTCCCATTCTCTCTTTCTCTCTTTCTCTCTTTCTCTCCTTCTCTCCTTCTCTCCTTCTCTCCTTCTCTCCTTCTCTCTTTCTCTCTTTCTTTATTTCTCTCTTTCTCTCTTTTTCTCTTTCTCTCTTTCTCTCTTTCTCTCTTTCTCTCTTTCTCTCTTTCTCTCTTTCTCTCTTTCTCTCTTTCTCTCTTTCTCCCTTTCTCCCATTTTCTCTTTCTCTCTTTCTCTTTCTCTCTTTCTCTTTCTCTCTTTCTCTTTCTCTCTTTCTCTTTCTCTCCGTGCCCACAAGCTGTGGCCGTAGCACTTTCAACCCCGCATGCTGCATGAAGCTCAGCGGAGGTGTCATGTCCTCGCTGGACTCGGCTCGGTCTCGGTCTCAGCCCGAAGTTGGTAGGTTCCCTAGACAAAATTTAGGGCTTAGGGCTTTGGGGGTTTAGGGTTTAGGGTTTAGGGTTTAGGGTTTAGGGTTTAGGGTACTACAACGCCTCTTTGGGCCTCTCTCTCTCTCTCTCTCTTTCTCTTTTTCTTTTTCTGTTTCTCTCTCTCTCTCTCTGTCACTTTCTCTCTCTCTCTCTCTCTCTGCCTGTCTGTCTGTCTTGCTGGCTGTCCCTCTCTCTCTGTCTCTTTCTCCGTTTTTTTTTTGTTTTTTTAATTGGGGCCTCTTTCTGAAACTCATCGTGTGAAGGGAGCCTGGAGAAAGAAGTGTTTTGTTTTTTGAGCAACTGTCAACGATTCAGCCGGAGGAGAAGCCTGGGGAAGAATGCGCCAGAAGAGGCCCTCCGCGAAGCTAAAGAGGCCAGGGAGGTTTCAAAATAGGGGTACCCTCTGTAAGGGCATTCTTATCTATTCGGGGTATAGAAGGGGGTATACCCCCATATCCTGATCCATTCTTATGTGGATGTTCGCGAAGGTGCTTCTGCGCAGCCACCTATAGCAGCCTCGTAGAAGAACGGTACCTGGCAGCTCCGCCTGAAGCTGTAATTTTCGTAGCGATCGAGCCATTGCAGAAAGGCAGTTTCTTCTTCCTTCTTCTTCTTTTAATTTCTCCAGGACCGTGCCTATATGCTCAGCCCTGCTTGCCGCGTAATCTTCATGGTCAGCAATTTTTTCTGCGCGAGGTGGCCTCGTCTGCCAGGGCGGGAGGGGACCTGCAGCTGGTCGCCGAAGCAGTCAGCCCGTACCTCAAGTGGGGCCTCGAAGTAGCTGGGCTCATGGGCCCCGAATTTAGGGTTTAGGGTTTAGGGTTTAGGGTTTAGGGTTTAGGGTTAAGCCTTGGGATGTTCCCCCTTATACTAGCAGTCCTGACCTACAGGTGCGATTGCGTTCTCTGCGGCTGCTCAAGCATGAACTTTGTGCCCCAGGTCTTGGGTTTCATCCATTCGGGGGTGTCTTCCAACTGGTGGGGTCTTTGGTGTCCTGCTCACTGCTCTGGATCCACCGCCCTCTTGGCTTTCTCCTTTGCCTCGGGCACTATTTTTGGCATTCTTCTTGCTCTTTACTTCTTCCGTGCCTCACTCTTTCTGCCGAGCCCTGCAGCTGCATTTCCCAGGCCTGAGACTTCTCGCGCTGAGGCCCCCTCGCAGGCCTCTACTCCTCTCCGTTTGCGCAAGTACTTGCATGGGCCAGAGAGCATTTGAGCACCTTTCCGAGGCTTTGAGGTTACTGCTGCTTCGGCGCCAGCCGGTGCTTTTCCTGCTGCACAGGGTTCCCCTCATCCCCCTAGCCCTAGTGGTTCTGTTGGGATATAGTAGGCCCTATTGCAAGCCGTGAGCTCGGGTCCCGTGGAGCTCCGGCGCCCCCTCCACGCACCACAGCACCTCATCCCGCCTCGTTACAACGAAGTCGAGGCTTCTTTCCCTGCCGCGCTTGCTCATTGCATTGTTCTTCATGCCCCTGGCCCTGACTCACCCGTTCGGTCCCCAAACGCCGTCGCATTCAGGAGAATCGTGGGCGCGCAGGAAGACTCAGACATCTTGTGCCACGCAGCCGGCTTGCCATTTCCGCTCGAGCAACCATGGATGCCACTCTCTTGCCTTCCCTCGCCGAGGGCCAGTTGAACCTTCACCTTCTCCGCTGGACGGGGGAAGGAAAATCCTCCCTTTTGGAGGCTGCGTACGCTGTGCCGGTGTTTTCCCGGAGCGAGGGGGTCATTCTTGCAATTCCTCCCGGCTTCCTGGCTCCAACCCTCCTGGCTTTAGGGCATACCGCTCACGAAGACAGCCTTGTGGGGCCCTCAAAGCTTCTGACCGTACCATTTGCCGTGACGGACGAACTGGGAGCAGAGAGCCTGCTCGGCATAGATGCGCAAGTCCTTGTGTGCGATTTCGGGGGTGGGGTCATAGAGCTTCTTCAGGAATATCGCGAAGAGACGGATCTGACAGACTGCCTTTTGTTCTTGGAGGATCACCCAGATGCACTGCCAGTGGGGCCGGCCCTTCTCACTGCCACCAGGGCCTGGATAGCGGAGGCTGCTGGGGACCGTGTGGCTTTCTACTCTGCAGTGGAGGAGCAAGCCGACATGGCCCCCAAGGCCAAGGCGAAACAGCAAACCAAGGCCAAGCGCCTCACAACGGCTGCCCTTGCAGAGCAGGTCGCTGCAGTGACGGACCTGCTTCCCCAGATTGGAAAGCAGCTTGCAGCTTTGCAGAAAGGTCAGCAGGATTTGGAGGCCCGCCTTCCTGTGTCCATGGAGCCGGCTCAGTTAGGGCCCTCTGCAACTTCTCAGATGCGCTTTCCGAGTGTGCAGCCAAAGCCCCCCCATCAGCAGCCTTTCCAGCTTTCGGGTCTAGGCAAGGGTTTTTCTGTGTCCCCCCAAGCAAACCTCATAGGACCGCCGCCCCGGACGAGGGAACCTCTCAGCGGCCACCTACCCAGGTGCAGGTTCGCCTCACGTCTTCCGTGGGTAGGCTTTTGAAGGCTTTCGGTGCCTCTGTTGGCGAGGAGCTCCTTGTCAGCACAGGCCGCCGCAATCCCCAATTGGTTGCACGCCTTTCTGAGTTGATCTCGTTGTTGACTACCATCAGTCCCAAAGGCTACGATGCAAGGGAAGGTGAGAAGGTACCGACTGATCCGTCTGTGCTTCCCGAACTCGAGCCTTGCAGGCCCCTATGTGCTTCAAGGCTGAAGCTTTCTGGCCGAGGCCAGTTTGACGCTCGGCCTTTCCTCAGCCCAAACCTCTACATGGCTTTCTGTGAGCCTGATGCTCTGCTGCACACCGGCATGCCTCCCACTGATGTCTTTGCTGATTGGACCAAAGAGCGGCCCGAAGAAGTCGCGGCCTTGGCCAAGATCTGGGATTCAAAGGGCTTGCTGCATCTTAGGCCCCCCAACGTACCTGCCTCTTTGAGCCATCACGTTTCGCGGGCTTTTAACTGCTACAAAAGCCCAGAAAAGGATCGACAGATCATTGACAGAAGGGGTCGAAACTGGTGTGAAGGCAGGGTTTGCGGCCCATCCGCAATCATACCGGTAGGGCCCCTGCTGTGCCAACTTGAGGCCCGGCCTAGCCGCGAGACTGTCAGGATTTCAATAACTGACAGGCGTGACTTTTACCATCAGTTTTGGGTGCCAGACCGGCGCGCTGAGACAAACATGCTGGGTCCCGCTCTGCCGCGTAGCATGCTGTTTGGCACGGCTGCACTTGAGAGGTTCGAGGCCCAGCGATGTCCGCGTTCTTCGGGAAAAAGACTGCACGAGGTCAGAAGCGACTTCCTTCACGAGGAGCCTGCTAAGGATCGCTTCGAGCCTTTGTTGTTCAACTCCGACCTCTTGGTGCCTTGCTTCAAGGCCATTGCTCAAGGGGACCATATCGGTGTCGAACTGGCCTCGGATGCGCATGCCTCTTTGCGTGCTAGCCACGGTCTCCTCGGTGGGGGCGACCGTCTTTGTTCCAACAGGCCTTTCAAATGCAGCGCAGAGGCCCAGGGCCTAATTATCGACGACTTCTTTGTGGCCTCAGTCTGCGATGCTAGCTCCAGCAGTGAGCCGGCGTGCGTTGCCAAGCTGCGCTTGGCCAAGGAAGCGTATGCTTTGTACTTCCTCGAAGGCTCTGATGACAAAGACGTGTGGAGCGGAGATTGCGTGAGAGTCGCTGGGGCGCAGCTCGACTCTTCGCCCGGCACTCGAGCGCTCGGCCTCATTACTCTGGGAGCCCCTGCCGCTAAGAGGGCGGCTCTCTCTGTGATCAGCCTTGAAGTTGCCAGACTTGCCCACACAACCGATAGTCTGCACTTGTGCCTGCTGGGCAACTGGACTTCCAGCTTGCTTTACAGGCGACAGCTCATGTCAGTGCTCGCCAGGAGTTTTGGTCTTGTCCGAGCGCAGGATTTAGGCCGGGTTCCTCGTGTCATTGGCCTTCCCAGGTCTGTCGCCCAGGAGTTGGTCCTGCTGGCCATCCTGGCCCCGCTTGCTGTGTCCAATCTTGGCGCCGTCCTGGCAGACAGTCTATACGCCGCCGACGCTTCCGAGCAAAAGGGTGCTTTCGTGAGTTCCACCGCGCCCCCCTTTCTGGTCCGGTCACTTTGGCGCACTGGCTCTAAGAAGGGTGGCTACTCTCGCATTTTCTCTCGTGAGGAGGCTCTCCTGGCTAAGCACCTTGATCCTGAGCCCTACAATCTTCGCTTGTTGCAGAGCCAGACGTCCGTGAGCCCTAGCCGGCCCCTGGCTTTCAGGTTCGACTTCATTGAGGTTTTCTCCAGTTCTGGTAGGTTGACTGAGGCACTTAGCGCTAAGGGTTGGGTTGTAGGTCCTCCTCTTGACATTGCACGAAGTCCTGCCTATGACTTGCAGAACCTCCGCGTGCTTGACTGGTTGTTGCACATGTTGGAAGGTCGCACCCTCCGCAGCTTGGCTTTGGGGCCCCCTGGCTCCACCTTCTCGTGCGCAGCCTCTCCCAGCTTGAGGTCTGATACTGAGCCTAGGGGTTTCTCGCCGTCTGAGCCACGCACGCTTTTGGGCAACACTTTGGCGCTTCGGGCTCTGACGCTTGTGTTTGTTGCCCTTCGGATGGGCGCCGTTGCCTTGCTTGAGCAGCCCCGGAAGTCCAAGATGGCAAGGCTCAGTGAATGGAAGCGCTTGCTCCTGTTGGGGGCCCATGAGGTCTTTTTGGCCTCCTGTTCTTTTGGTAGCGTCCACCTGAAGGAGTTTCGATTCCTGGTGGTCAACGCAGATTTCTCCCGTCTGCAGCAGCCGCGCACAAGGAATCATTCCCATGTACAGATCCAAGAGAAGCATACAGCAGCCTCCTCCGTGTACGTGCCTTTCCTTGCAGATGCCATTGCCCACGAGTTTGACCAAGCACTTAGAGCGCAGGCCCATGTGGCCGCTGCACAAAGCCTAAAGGCTGAAGGCCTTGAAAACTTCGTTGTGAATGATGTTGTGTTGTCTCTGCCGTGGAGGGTTGGGAAGGCATTGGCTTGGAGGGCCATGTCCCACATCAATATCTTGGAGCTCGCCTCGGTCCTCCGCTTGCTGCGCTTCCTGGCCCCGCATGGGTCCCTCCGGATCGTGTGTTTGTAGACTCTGCTGTTGCACTCCAGGCAGCCTCTAAAGGCCGCAGCCCCTCAAGAGGCTTAACACCCATCCTCCGCAAGGTCGCAGCTGTCTGCTTGGCTGCAGACCTGTATCCAGTCTTCCACTTCTGCCCTACGCGCCTGAATCCCGCTGACTGTCCTACTCGTGACACGCTTTTGCCTCCGCCTTCTGACCATGCAGTGTGGCCCGAGTTGACTATTGATCAGCTCTATGAGGGCCTTGCAGCCACCAAGGTGCGCCGTTGGCTTGCAAACTGGGAGCGACTTGTGTGTCTCATTGCTGGGCCTCCACCAGGATTGTCACCTGAGCTGGACTGGCGTGACTTTCGCCACTCATCCCGCCTTTTTGACTCAACTTTAGGGTTCCCTGGCGAGGGTCCCTTCCTCGCCTCCCTCGCCTTCTTCTTTTATGGCCGCCTCTTGTGTCTTTTCTTCCTCTTCCTCGCCTCTCCGGGTTCTTCAGGGTGTTCAGGGTGGGGTTTTAAAGGATGCCATGGCATGCTGCTCCCCCGCGACCGCGCAGACCAAGCGCGACAGGCTGCAAGAGAGCACAAGACACTGGCTGAAGGAAGGCCTGTCGAGGAGCCGACTCAGCGTAGACGTCAGAAGTTTCTGGAGGCTTTTGAGCGTTGGCTGGGCGCCCGTGGTTTCGACTTCAAGGTGCTCCTGACACAAGGGTTTGATGGGGCCCCCGAGATGAACCGTCTGCTGACCGACTTTGGCCGTGAGCTTTTTGCTGCTGGCTGGCCTTATTCTCACTACTCGGAAACCATTAACGGGGTTGCTGCTTTACAGCCAGCTTTGAGGCGTGTTTTGACACCAGCTTGGGATTTAGCGTTTTCGTGGCTCCGTGAAGAACCTCATACGCATCACCTTGGCATGCCTTGGCAGGTGCTACTCGCTTGTGTCTCAGTTGCCCTTCTTTGGGGCTGGGTCCCCGTTGCCGGGTTGCTGGCTTTAACGTGGGGTGGCGTCATGCGTGTGGGCGAGGTTCTCGGTGCTACGAGATCTGACCTGACATTGCCAGCCGATCTTGGTGGCACGATATGGTTTGCGCTGCTGTCAATCGCGGAGCCAAAAACAAGGTTTCGTGCTGCCCGACACCAGGTCGCTCGCTTGGACCAACCTGATTTGCTGCGAGTTGTCACCATGGCTTTTGGTCACTACGCCCCCGAAAGGCGCTTATGGCCTTTCTCTCCCTCGACTTTGAGGAGCAGGTTCTCCGCAGTGGTCAAGGCCCTCTCTTTGGACCGACTTCCAGGAGGCAAGCAGTTGGACCTTGGCTCCCTCAGAGCGGGAGGGGCTACGTGGCTCCTTCACCAGACTGAGAACAGCGAGCTCGTCAGGCGACGAGGCAGATGGCTAAATCATCGTTCGATGGAGATTTACGTCCAGGAAGTGGCGGCACTACATTTCTTCTCGACAGTCCCAGCCGTCGCCAAGACCAAGGTTTTGTCCTTGCTGGAAGGATTCCAAAATCTCCTGTTCCGTGCAGAAGCGCTTCAGCGTGCAGGGGTCCCCCCTGCTGTTTGGTTCAATCTCTTTCGCCTGGGTTAGCAGCCGCAATGGTTGGAAAGGTTGGGTGTGGCGAAAATCGCTTTGGGCATACTACCAGGAGCTACTTCAGACTCTGGTGCAAAACAGAAGTTGCACCGTTGCCGCTTGGTTAGCATGAACACCTGACCTACAGGTGCGCTTGCGTTCTCTGCGGCTGCTCAAGCATCCCGCCCTCCACTCCCGCACCCAGGCGAAAATCGCTTTGGGCATACTACCAGGAGCTACTTCAGACTCTGGTGCAAAACAGAAGTTGCACCGTTGCCGCTTGGTTAGCATGAACACCTGAAAAGGGATTATGAGCCGGAGGGGAAGCATCCCAACCTAAACCTCAACACCGCTGAATCCCCAAAGCTTGTTTAGACTGCGCCTCAGCCTCAAAGAGCTTCCAAAGAGCCTCTGAGGCTTATAAGCTTTTGTCTTGTGTCAACTATGATCCCCCGCCACAAGAGGCCGCCAACAGGGAGCCCATGCTTACCTGAAAAACCCTAAGCCCTATACACCCCAAACCCTTATAAACCCCAAACCTAACTACGAGCCTCAAACCCTAAACCCCAACCCCTAAGCACCCTAAACATCCTAAGCCCCAAACCCCAAACCCTAAGCTCGAAACTCTGAACCCTAAACCCCAAACCCAAAACACCTCTCAAAGGGGAACCCTAAACCCTAAACCCTAAACCCTAAACCCTAAACCCTAAACCCTAAACCTTAAACCCTTAGCCCTAAACCCAAAACCCTAAACCCTAACCGCTAAACCCTAAACCCTAAACCCTAAACCCTAAACCCTAAACCCTAAGCCCTAAACCCTGAACCCTGAACCCTGAACCCTAAACCCTAATTCCTAAACCCTAAACCCTAAACCCTCAACCCTCAACCCTCAACCCTCAACCCTAAACCCTAAACCCTAAACCCTAAACCCTAAACCCTAAACCCTAAACCCTAAACCCTAAACCCTAAACCCTAAACCCTACACCCTAAACCCTAAACCCTAAACCCTAAACCCTAAACCCTAAACCCAAGTAAAGGCCTCCAAGGGCTGGCGCTGGTGGCCTCTGGTCGGGCGGTGGAGGCACCGGAGGGCCTGAAGGGTTTAGGGTTTAAGGTTTAGGGTTTAGGGTTTTAGGGTTTAGGTTTCAGGGTTTAGGGTTTAGGGTTTAGGGTTGAGGGAGTTGGGTTTAGGGTTCAGTAGGGTTGGGGGGGGTGTTAAGGGCTAGAAGCTTTGGGTTGATAGGATTTCGGGAGATTCGGGGGTGGAGGTGGAGAGTTGAGGGTTTTTCGGCGGCGATGTTGACCTTAGAACTTGCAACCCTGTCAAGCTTTAGGCCCGCAAGCCCTTGAACCTAGGCCCAGACCTGATCCATGTGGGAGGCGCAGCAGGTGCTGGGCGCCGAAATGAATGCAAGCCGAAGCGCAGGCGCCCGGATTTCTGTTGAGGGTTTAGGGTTTAGGGTTTAGGGTATAGGGTATAGGGTTTGCGGGTTAGGGTGCCTGGATTTGCCCGAGTAGGCAACCTGTACCTTTTGGGGTATATGGGGTGCTTACGAAATTAGGGGTGCCGCAGTGGGTCCTTGTCCGCAGGGGATCCTACTATGTGGGGGTCTCTTCTAGATTTCCCCTATGTTCGTAAATCCCCATGTGTACTCCTACCATTCCATCGTTGAAGGATTGACCTGTTTTTTTGGCCCAGTGTACGCGGCAACTGGGTTCTAGCGCCCGTACTTGGAGGTTCATGGTACTTACTTACCAACTATAACTGTACTTGTATCCCACTCATAAGCCCCTTAAGTGCCCCAATATGGTTAGAACTACAGTTCTAAGTACAGTTATCATTGGTTAATAAGTACCATGAACCTTCAAGTAGAGCACATCCAACAACCTGGGGGCCATTCCCTAAACCCTAAACCCTAAACCCTAAACCCTAAACCCTAAACCCTAAACCCTAAACCCCTAAACCCCTAAACCCCTTCTCACCTTCAGGAGATCAGAGGGGCCAGGCGACGTTGCTGGCGGCGCAGAGTAGCGTGGCCCTCGCGGCAGCCGGGTGAAAATTCTGGGTTGAAGTGCGCAGCAACAGACCTCAAAGGAGAGAGAGGGAGAGAGCTATGCCCATGAAAGAAAGAGAGAGGGAGAGAGAGAGAGAGAGAGAGTGAGCTGTTCTGGGTTCGGAGAGTTTCGGAGCAGTCGCCTGTTCAGCCATCAGGGTCCCGACCGCTGCTTAGCTGTTGCAACGACACCCGCTCAGAACACTCTGACAGGCAGGCGATGCAAAGATGGCACAGGGCTATGCGAGCGAAGGCACGGGAGTTCTGTGAGTCAGGACGCGTGTGCTAACATTCCCAATTGGGATGTTTCTGTCCAGGCCGCCAGATCATATCTCGCAGGGGCGCTGTCTCGGAGAAGGAGAGCAGGCGTGGAAAAGCATCTCTGGTTCCTCTGCGCAGTGTGTTGAAGTCGAAGCTTCGTCTCGCCAGGGCGCTTCTTCTTCGCCTCCATGTGGCAGCAGCTGGGTAAGAAAGGTCCATGCCATAAGGTTCCAGATGTCGCTGTCGCACCGCCCCTCCCCCCCCACACAGCTCCCACCCAAACCTGTCAGGTTCTGGCATTGCAAAATGCACGTAGAACATGTAGATATCATGGCTGCTTCAAAATTCGGCTACTTTCTCCTTGTCGTCCGCAACGCCGAGTTTCGCATTCCTGACATCCACTAGCAATCTGTGGGTGCTGTTCATGCTTCAGAGCTCGGGTGCCCACTCTTGTCACAAAACCACGAAACGTTACACCGAACAGAACCATATCCGATAGCGCATGGTGGGCGCAAGCCGGAACCACCGATGGAAACTGCTCACTAGCAATATGGTCCCTCCCGCCCCTCGTCTGAAAGAGTTGATTTCACCCCACTTTGGTGTCAGAAAAGGTACCGCAAGATAAGCAAAAAAGTGAAAGACGCTTAGCACGCCGAAACCCTCAAAGCAACCGCATTTTATCTCCGTGCTTCGATGTTTTCAGAGCAGCCAAACAGAAGAAAGTGTGACAGGACTGCGCCAGGCGAGTTTACCAGGGTGACGTGCAGGAAAAGGTAGTGCCGGATGTGGCAGCCGATCCTGCACACTTGACTTTTGATGTTGACAACGACTCCTGCTGCTGCTATCGCTGCTGCTACTGCTGCTGCTGCTGCTGCACCTCCTCCTTCTCGCTCCTGCTGCTGCCGTGCTGCTGATGCGCATGACGCGGTCGGCGCACTGCTATGCCCCGCATTGGGGATTGTCTAGAGCCTAGGAAGCGAACGCCCATCTGGCTGCTGAAGCTTTGGCTCCGGCAGCGTCGTCGGCTTGGGAGGAGAGGGCGTGTTGCCGTGGAGTTGCTCGAAAGAGCCAGAGAATAGCTAGCAAAACAGCTGGTAAAAATGGCAGTGTGTGGTTTTTCGTCGCCCTGCAGGCTCTTTCGCTGGCAAGAGAAGCTCGCGACGAAGATGGTCAGTGCGAAGCGCTGCACGTCATGGCGCTCCTCTTCCTCTTCTTCGGCAGGCCATGCAAATACTGCAAGCATCTGCAAGCTTTCCTCATTGCACAATACTGCTCCGTGTTCCCTAGTCAGATCCCTCAAGACCGAAGGGGTAGTTCTCTAAACCAGGGTCCTTTTTTTGGGTCCTTTTTGTAAGGGTGCCGTACTTTCTAGGGGACGCAACACGGGACCCCAAGTTAGAGAGCCACCCAGATAACATAGGCCTGCACAGGACTGCAGCCAAGAAGGCTCTGCAAGAGGCAGCGGTGGGAGACTCCCCCTTTGCATCTCTGGAGTCGTCGAACCAAACAGCTGCACTTCTCCGCAGACTTGGTGACAAGGACGCGTAGGTCAAAAGGGAAGGGGGGGTGGTTCTTCAAGCTGTTTCACCACTACTATGGTTCCTCTGATTCTTCTTCTCCCTCATATTCTTGCCAGTTCTTTCTCGAGGCAGGGCCATGCGGAGACCCGTTCCACAGTGCTGCAAACTCCTGCGAACCGTGCGAACCTTCAGAAAGGGCCCCAAGGGTTAGTTGCTGGGTGCTTGGACGGACTTACTAGGTGTCTGGCTTGCCCGGTCAAAGAAGTTGCGCCTCCCGTTGTCCTGCCCAAAGTCAAGTCATGTTGGGGCGAAGGTGTGGAGGGAGCAGGTGATGTGTGTAGTGTAGTCATCATGCTCTGTTCACGTCTGATCCTCAAAAGTTCGGGGGGATAAGCCGTCTTACCATCCAAAGGAACCTAGTTCTAGAGACGCGAAGACGTTGGCACCCTGTAAGGATGCACATGTAAAGGAAAATATGGACCCGAGTTCCTCAATACCCGGTTAAGAGCCAGTTCGATAGGGGGGATCCCCACCCACAGCCTGAATTTCGGGAACGGCAGGAAGGCGAGGCGTCAGCGATGCTCTTTGGCGTCGCGGAAGCCCGGCTGGACCAAGGCAACAGCCTGGAGGCCCAAGGAGCAGCGCACCGTGCACGAGAGCTCTTCCGTCAGCTGAGACATCGCCGCGGGCGCCTGGCGGCCTTGGAGGTCTTGACGCGGAGCTTGGGTGTGGACACCCTGGCTGCGCTTGAGGCCACGGAAGAGGAGCTGCGTCTCTTCGAGGCCGAGGGAGATGCGGCCGGGCAGGTGTCGGCACTCCGCACCTTGGCAGATGCCTACATTGCCAGGAGGATCTATGGCGAGGCCCGCAGCGCTCTCCGCAAGGCGCTTGAGCTGCTGAAAGGGACTGCAGCAAACGAGCTGCAGGGGCAGACCCTCCTGTTGCTCTCACAGATAGAGGACTTTATGGGCAGGACGGAAGCCGCCCTGGAGACTGCCGAGAAGGCCCTGCTGGCTGCGAAAGCTGGCAAAGCTGCCGGCCTTGTCACTGAAGCCCGGCGAGTTGTGAGCCGCCTGCAGACAAAGTGCGGTCGCTCAGAGCAAGCTCCAAACCGACGGGACGCCCTGGAAGCCTTAAGAGAGCTGACTCAGGCTGCACGTCGGCATGACGCGGATGAGTTCAGAGCTGTTCTGGATCGCCTTGACGATCTTTCTGGCTACACTGATGGGGATGTAAAAGCGGCCCTAGTTATTGAGGACGACGACGACCAGCCTAGCCTTGTAGAGTTCTTGAAGAAGCACGGAAAGACGTCTGCAGGAGCCGCGCAGCCTGGTCGTGGTGGTTCCATTGTGATGACAGGCCTGAACCATGCGCTGCTCTACCTATCCTTCCGCATGGGAGGCCTCGGTTACGGGCCACGTTTCCGGCGCTGCTATGGCCACAGAGTCGACGGAGAAGAAGCGGTCCATGGCGTCGCGTACTTGCGGCTTTTGTCCTCGCAGGACCCAAAACCCTAAACCCTAAACCCTAAACCTTAAACCTTAAACCCTAAACCCTAAACCCTCAACCTAAACCCTAAACCCTAAACCCTAAACCCTAATTAAACCTTTAACCCTAAACCCCACACCCTAAACCCTAAACCCTAAGCCCTCAACCCGTGCAGGAAGAGTGGGGCCGGCGGCTCGAGATTCAGCCTCCCATCCTGGACTCCATGCAGCATTCGCTCAATGTGGTGGAGCTTGCTGGGACGGTGTGAGAGCATTTTCCGGCGCCTTCCAGGGCTTAGGATTTAGGGTTTAGGGTTTAGGGTTACGGGTTACGGGTTTAGGGTTTAGGGTTTAGGGCTTAGGGTTGCATCATCGTTTCGTTCGCATCCTCTTCGCCTCCTTCGCATCGCCTCATCTTCCGGTTGAATCGGATTCGGATCTTTGAAGCGCAGCTCGTTGATCCACGTAAGGCAGTAAAGTCGGTAGTGAGGTCTCCCAACCTCGTACATGTGCCCGGAGCGCGCACGTGCCCAAAAACTTCGCGGCCGACTCTAGCCTCTTGCCAGAGCTACTGGCTTGCTTCATTGACCATTCTGGGGTTTAGGGTTTAGGGTTTTAGGGGTTTAGGGTTTAGGGTTTAGGGTTAATATTTCGGCTACTATACCAGGCTAAAGGGGTTCCAGAAGAACCTGGTTCCCTGATTTATGGTAACTTGGATCGAGTTCCGGAACACCAGCCCAGCATTGGAAGCATGTCCGGCTAGACTTGCTCTCCACAACGGGCTCAGAGTTGGCAGTCAAACAGAGACAGGGCGGGCAAACATGAAGCGCTGCATTCAGCAGGCTGTAAGGCTGGGCTGATCACTTGGGCGCTTAGCTATCAAGGGCAGGAGTTCGTGAGCAATGGCGCTTGCGGCACCTGCATGGTCGACCTCAACCAAAGCCGCCATCGTCACGGGCCTAAGCTCCAGACGTTGTCGCAAGAGTGACCAGGCTGTGCCGTCTCCGTGCCATATGCAAGATCTTTGGGCCTGAGAAATCCTAAGCCCTAAGCCCTCAACCCACCTCCGCAACCCTAAACCCTAAGCCCTAAACCCCGAAACCCCCAAAATCTGGGCCACTGTTGAGGCGCCTCCCAGAAACACGGCCCAGCTCGAACCTGAGTTACAGGGGTTTCGGGGGGCTTCAAAGTTGTGTGAGTGCAGGGACTACATAGGGCTATAGGGCTGTGTAGAGACTTTTTTGTTCGCGCTTGCGCTTCTGCTGTTTGGTCGGAAGTTTTGCGATGATTTCTGGGTGGAGCGTGGATCCCTGTCACTGAGGCCCGAGGCCTCCGACTTCTCTTCCACTCTTGCGAAGGTGCCTTGCAAGTGAGAGCCCCAAACCCTACACCCAAACCCTAATCCCTAAACCCTAAACCCCAAACATCCCCAAACCCTAAATCCTAAACCCTAAACCCTAAACCCTAAACCCTAAACCCTCAACCCTAAATCCTAAACCCTCAGGAGGAGGGAGCTCGAACTGACTTGAGAGATTTGTTGTCAGCGATGCCTAAGACTCGACTCAGATCTCCGCCGCCGCGCGATCTGTTTGCAATCAGAAACGCAGTCCCAAACCCTATGCCTAAACACCCCTAAACCCTAAACCCTAAACCCTAAACCCTAAACCCTAAACCCTAAACCCTAAACCCTAAACCCTAAACCCTAAACCCTAAACCCTGAACCCTGAACCCTGAACCCTTAACCCTAAACAACTCTTAACCCAGGCCTGCAAGGCGTCGGTGCCGTTAGCTTCCCTGGGCTTGGCGCAGTGGGCTGAGAAGCTACGAGTGGGCCGTAAGGTTTCGCGTGCCGCGCGTGCATTTCGTCACGGGCGTACGCAGCTTGCCAGTTCTCCACGCTACCTTCTCTTTTCTTGGGCACCTTCAAATGACACAACAAGGGGCGTAGCAGACGCTTTTAGGGTATAGGGTTTGGGGTTTCGGGTTTAGGGTTTAGGGTTTGGGGTTTGGGGTTTAGGGTTTCGGGTTTAGGGTTTAGGGTTTAGGGTTTAGGCAGCCCAAGATGCTCCCAGCCCATTGCCAGCGAGGTCTCGGGGGCATCGGAGAGCGAGGCGCGAAGCAAAACGGGAGGTTCACCGAGGAGAAGATGCTCTGAGCAATCTATGTAAGAGAGGGAACGTCCCTTGAACCCTAGACCCTAAGTCCATCTAAATCCTAAATCCTAAATCCTAAATCCTAAACCCTAAACCCTAAACCCTAAACCCTAAACCCTAAACCCTAAACCCCAAACCCTAAACCCTAAACCCTAAACCCTAAACCCTGAGTTGTTTGTTGATGGCGAGGGTGGCACGTGCGGGTGCGCCTCCTACGCCGATCTGGCAGACGAAGCGTAGACTGATGGCCTGGTCCTCGGGCTGTTGTGAGCCCTTGGGGCTACCCAAACTGACCCTAAACCCTCAACCCTAAACCCTAAACCTTAAACCCTAAACCCTAAGCCCTAAGCCCTAAGCCCTAAACCCTGCTAGCCCGCAGAGTATCCCAGGCTACAGTTGCACCTTTCAGGTTGCCCAGCTGGAGCGCCAATGGCGTCTGCCGGTTGAGGAGGCAGAGCTGTAAGTGGGCTTGGTTTGGAGTTTAGGCTCGCGGCTTGGCATCTTCTTCTCTTTCTTAAACCCCCTAGCCCCTTAAATCCCTAGACCCCTGAGTCCCTAAACTTTTTGAAAGCACCTTCTGAGATCTCGGGAGGCAGGGGCAGATGCTCAGAAGTCGCAGGAGCCTCAAGAGCTGCCACAGGCGGGATGAGGAGCAGTGTTGCATGGCGTGTCTCACATGCTGAGCTCATGTGAAGGCGTTTTCAGGACTCTGAAGTGTAGAAGGGATATGGAGTTTGAAGCTGGCTTTTCGGGGTCTTACCCGTTGTGCGGAGCATGAAGGGAGGCCTCACGCCTGGAAGCCAGGCATTTCTGCGTTTTCTGGGTGGGGGTGTGCTGATGGCGGTCCTGGCGCAGGCTTGACTGCTGTCCTCATTCCAGTGTCTTCTTGCTTTAGCTGCAGTTTGCCGGGTTTGCGCTTTGTGAGTATTTCGGTGAGCCATGCAAGCCTGTCTAGCAATGCTTGTCTGTCTGGTTGACGTCCTTGCTGACTTTGCTCAGATCCCCTTTGTTCTGCGTGATTGTTGATTTAGGGTACGGCCAGTGTTCCGCTGCACATGCTGCACTCCAAGCCTTCCGTCGACAGATGAATGAGAGCACGTGCAAGGTCCCCTCTTCACATGCTCACTGAGTGCAGTCCTAGTTGTGAGGCTTCCTTCCTTGGACGTCGCGGGCCGGACCTCCCATCTGGGCCGGACATCCCATCTCAGGTTTGAAGCAGTGAATCCGAGGGACGTTCCGTAAGATGTGCCCTACCGGAGCATTACAGTTTGCTTGTGACATGTTGCTCCCGCCAAAGCGCCCTGGCGCCAACAAGCATATGCTAGAACAGTCCAACGACCTGACTGCCAGTCCCCGCAGTCAGAGGCTGGGTTCTGCTAGAATTTAGTTGCCATGACAAGGATACTCTGTTCTGCACGATACAGCCCGATTGTGCTAACTCCACTATAGTAACTTAGTTAAAGTTCCTGCGCAAGAACCCAGTTTGGTAGGCTTGACGATCTTTTCGGACTTTTCACCAGTCCAACAGGAGGCACCTTCTCAAGTCGTTCTTGCATTGCACCTGCCATCTATCATGCGTGCATTCATTCATTCTCAAGTGGCAAGTGCACACTGCTCGAACGAAAGTGTTTCAAGCAGAATGCGTGGCCACTGTCACCGTCAAGCAGCCGCGTGCTCAAGTAAGTGAGTAACGAGGTCATTGGAATCAGCTCAGCTTTCATAGACTTTTCCGGTGACACTGGCGAACGAAAGGCAGGCGTTCCAACTTTTCTGCCTTCGAAGGGGGATGCAATTTTCTCGCCTGGCTGCAATCGGCAAGCCAGATGCCGCAATTCGCGCTGCTTTCAATCTGCGCTCACGAAGGCTCCTCGCACAGGCACACAGGCGACATTCCACATCTTGGCTCTGCATTCTGCCCTAAGCCCTAAGGCCCTAAGCTAAGCTGGAGGCATAAGTCGCAGCTGCGGAGCTCTTTCGGAGCGAGCTCTTTTGGAGCTGTACATAAGTTTGACTGAAGAATTCTTACGACATGCAGGGAAAGGAGCGGCACTGCAGCACTCTGGTGGCACGGCGTCTCTCTGCGAGATCGCAACCAGTCAGCACGCCTGTTCAAGCTGCAGCCATTCTTTCAAGCTCGTTGAGAGCGCCGATCACAGTGCGGATGCGCCATCCTAGAAGCCCTAAGAAAAATCTCTGTTTGTTTGTTTTTTCTTGCTTGCGGGTCTCTCTCATATGTATTTGCCATGCTTTAGCCGGTTGGCGGGGGGGGGGGGGGATGGTGGAGATTGGAAAGGATGACGCCGCAGGACCAACCTCTGCACAGGGAGAGTTGGGGGGGGGGGGATGATGGGAGTGAGTTGCTTGTCCCAACTGTCTCGCACGATCGAAGCATGGGCTCTTCTAGATTTTGGATGCCCCTCGCATGTGGCTAGTAGAGCGCACCCACAGCTGAGCAGGGACGAAGAATTTGCGATTAGAGACAACATTCACACATGTCTCGCATGGCGGGATTCTGGCTGCTTCTTTCACTGCTGGCTCTGGCAAGGGCGCTGGAAGGGCCATGTGACATCTATGCCCATGGCAAGACACCCTGCGTTGCTGCACACTCCCTGACTCGCGCGCTGTATGGAGCATACTCCGGAGCTTTGTACCAGGTGAAGCGTGCTTCGGATGGTGCCACTCAGGATATTTCCGTGCTTCCGGGTGCAGGCGTGGCCGACTCTACCCTGCAGGATTCCTTCTGCGGGAAGGACTCCTGCATCGTGCTCCGCATCTACGATCAGTCCCCAAGCAAGAATCATCTGGACCTCGCCCCGGCCGGTGGTGCCGTAAAGGCTCCTGACGCGGGCGTGAACGCGAGCGCGAACCGCGTCTTCGTCATGGACCAGTCAAAGGAGCTCCGCCCCGTCTATGGCGCCAAGTTCCAGGGTGGCATGGGATACCGGAACGACAAGACCGCCGGTGTTGCTGTGGGTGACGAGCCGGAGTCTATGTACATGGTCGTGGCGGGGAAGCACTACAATGGAAAGTGCTGCTTCGACTACGGGAACGCGGAGACCGACAATCTTGATCACGGGGTGGGCACCATGGAGGCTGTCTATTGGGGTTCCGCAAAAGGCGCGGCCCAAGGGGCGGAGGAGGGGCCATGGGTCATGGCTGATCTGGAGGACGGTCTTTGGGCTGGCGATGGGAAGAACCCGGGCAACACACCCATTCAGACCGACTTTGTGACGGCCATGGTCAAAGGAGACAGCAACAACCACTTTGCTTTGAAGCATGCTGATGCCACTGCTGGAGGCAGAAGCCTCGCCAGTGACCAGAAGCAGCTCAAGACGTTGTACGATGGCAAGCGCCCTCCAAAGTATGAGATCATGAAGAAGCAAGGTGCAATTATTCTTGGCATCGGAGGTGACAACAGCAACTGGGCAGTTGGCACATTCTACGAGGGGGTCATGACCCAGGGTTTTGCCAGCGACAGCACAGATGACCTTGTCCAGCAGAACATTTTAAATGCGGGTTACAGGGTGACGGCCAGTACTGCAGTCGCGGACGAGCTGTTTGTTTGAGAGACCTTCGGACTTGCTCTCGGACACCCTGTTCGACCTCCTCCGCCTGGTAGTTCAACCTGTGCCATCAGAGGCGGACACCCTAAACCCTAAACCCTAAACCCTAAACCCTAAACCCTAAACCCTAAACCCTAAACCCTAAACCCGAGACCCTAGACCCTAAACCCTCAATGGCTCTTCTCTTGTGCTCTTGAACGAGATTGATGATTCGATTGGTCTCCAAGGGTTGATAGGTCCGAGGCCCGCGCCGCACGCAAAACAGCACAACTGCAACACGGGAAGCAGCTGAAGTGCAGCATTTGGGCATCTTCGGGTCTGGATGTTCTTGGGGGCCTTCAATCATGTCGCTCTATGTCGCTCTTGAGAGGATCCGCAGCCCCGAGACGATGCCTTCCTCCGCGGTCTTGGGAAACTTCCCTGGAAGCACCAGCGCGAGGCTCTCCCAGCTGTCACAGATGTAGCACCCTTTCTTTCTCCCCCCGGTTTTGCAGTCCTTCAAAGAGATTCTGTAGGGTTTAGGGTTTAGGGTTTAGGGTTTAGGGTTTCCTGCCTGTCTTCAGAGGCGGTCGGCCGCCTGCTGCATGAGCTGCGATGCGATGAGAACCCTCAGACCGCCAGTACCGCCAACCTCCTGGTGCAGCACGCCACAGGAGAAGCTCCTGCAGGGTTTAGGGTTTAGGGTTTAGAGTTTACGGTTCAGGGTTTAGGGATGTTTAGGGTCTTAGGGTTTGTTTGGGTTTCGGGTGCCAGCAAGCCCCCGCTTCCCTTTCTTGCCGCGAAGCCTCTTCAGAGCGGTGCCGGCGTAGACTTCCTTGGTCGGGGGATTCGGGAGTTTGGCACCTTCCATCCAAACCCTAAACCCTAAACCCTAAACCCTACACCCTAAACCCTAAACCCGAAACCCTAAACCCTAAACCCTAAACCCCAAACCCCTAACCCCAACGAGAAGCTCCGTAGACTCAACTTGAGAGGCGGCGGCAAGTCTGCGACCATGGCATGGCTGGTCCATTGCCTGGGCGTCGAGGACTTCAAGGCGCCTCCCAACTTTAGGGTTTAGGGCTAGGGTTTAGGGTTTAGGGTTTAGGGTTTAGGGTTTAGGGTTTAGGGGCTGGGGTTTAGGGCTTAGGGTCTAGGGGGTGTAGCGGGTTGGGGGGTTCAGGGGATTAGAGGGTAGGGGGTTAGGGTAGATAATGGGCCGCCTCCTGCAACCTTTTAAGGGTTTGGCCGCAGGGGCGCAGCTTCAGCCTCATACTGGTGCTGAGCGATCGGCTCCAGCTTGACCGCCAGTGGCTTGGCCTTTGATGGGGCAGTCGCCCTCCCTCAACCTCCTTCCCCCCCTTCTCTCAGAGAAAGAAGGGCCCTAAACTTTACTCAACGGCACCCGAGGCTGGGAGACACGGTGGAGCAGTTCCTGCTCCGGAATGGATGGGATGCAGACAGCATCCGGCGCGCAGATGACGGTCGGAACTGCCTTGCCAAAGCGCTCTTGCCAGCATTGCGTCCGGGGCGCCAGTGCCTCACTGTCATCACTACCAAACAGAAGCTGGACCGGCTGCCCAAAGTTGGGACGAAAGTGGCTCAAGGATCGCTGGCGGCTGTTCTTGGACGGGGCCGTGTGGCGGTGGTTTGCGAGGAGTGCCACCGCGCTCACTTCCAAGATGGCGCCACCTTTGCCGCGGTCTCGCGCTTGTTTGGCACTTGGGGTTTCTGGGCCGGAGTCGGAAATTCAAAAGTTCCACGAGGCTGCTCCCTCCATCCCTGTATAAGAAAACCAACAGAAGTTTACCCTAAACTCCTAAACCCTTGAACCGTAACCCTCAGGCCCTAGTCCCTAAAACACTAAGCCCCAGGTTCGGTTGGGGGCCAACCTGAGGGTGTGACGTACATCGGCTTCACCGGAACCCCTGGCCACAGCGCACTCCGGCTCTTTGGGCGCCTGGACGCCAGCCCATGTGGTGCCCCAGAGGAAAAGTAAGAGCTTGTAATGGCGTAGTAGCAGCGGGTGTAAGAGTAATACTAGGTAGCATATCATAGTAAGGAGTACTATAGCAATGGCCAAGAGGTCGAATGGTGTTGGGTTGATCCTGCAAGTTGAGTCTACTAGCGTCCGTCCTGCGACTGGGGCGTGGTCTAGCGCTTGGTTCCTCGACTATGGATTTCTAGTATGTGGGGGGTGTGCGAGGGGGACCCCCCATCTCGCGAAGTGCACGAAGTATCACGACATGCTTTGAGAGGCAAGCCTCCTTGTCAGAAACAAACCCTAAACCCTAAACCCTAAACCCTAAACCCTAAACCCTAAACCCTGAACCCTAAACCCTAAACCCTAAACCCTAAACCCTAAGCCCTAAGCCCTTAGCCCTAAACCCTAAACCCTAAACCCGAAACCCTAAACCCAAAAACCCTAAACCCTAAGGCCTCGCCTGGCAGCCGGCACACTGCTACCACTTGGGGCAAGCCGAGAAGGATGCGGTCGTCCTGGATGTTATGGAGAGCCTTTGGCTCATTCGGGGGTTTACGAACATGGGGGGTACCCCCTGTCTGCCCCCCAAATAGAGTAGAATCCCCTTTAAAGAAGGACCCCCTAGGAGGGTACCCTTCGCATTTCTCTGCATCCTTCCTTTCTTCTTCGCCTATGCAGACCTTACGTGGTTCTCAACGTATGGTGGGCAAGTACGCCTAAATTCTCAACCCTAACCCCTCAACCCTCAACCCCTGAAGCCCCAAGAGCCCAGGAACTACAAAGACGTCCACCTGGCCCCTGGCCCGGCCGTTGAGACAAAAGCCAACTACATCCTCAAGGACCTGGAGGGTCTGGGTCGGAACTACGAGCCCGGCTTCTGGGTTCTTCTCAGCTTTGCCCGTAGCAAGGAAGGTTTAGGGTTTAGGGTTTCGGGTTTCGGGTTTAGGGTTTAGGGTTTAGGGTTTAGGGTCCAGGATACAGCGCGATGCCACGTATGCCTCGGCGTGCAACTTAAGCAAGAGCAGAGCCCAGGCTTTGCCGCGGTGTTGAAGGCGATGGTGGTCTGTCAGTCTCGCGCTGATGTCGTGGGCTACGTGTCGGCCTTGCGTCAGCTCCTGAGCTCGGGCCGCTATGCCTTGCCAGGGGGACAGAGGTGCCTTGGCCACTTGGGTTATGGGGAGTTTGGGGAGTTTGGGGTTGAGGAATTTAGGGTTTAGGGTTTAGGGTTTAGGGCGTAGGGTTTAGGGGAAGACAGTGGGACAGTTCTCTGTGAACTGGGACTGGGAGTGTGGAAGCGCAGCAGAAATGCCGAAGCTGAATGCCCGCAGGCCCGCTGATTGGACCCGCAGCATCTGCGGCTTCTACAGCCCCATAGCTGAAATGTTTCAACAGCTTCAACGGCTCGTTGCGATCTCTTCGTGGGCAGTTGTGTGTTATGGCTCGCTCAACTCCCCCTCGGAACCCTAAACCCTAAACCCCACACCCCCAACCCTAAACCCGAAACTCTAAACCCTGAACCTAAACCCTAAACCCTAAACCCTAAACCCTAAACCCCAAACCCCACACCCCCAACCCTAAACCTGAAACTCTAAACCCTGAACCTAAACCCTAAACCCTAAACCCTAAACCCCAAACCCTAAACCCCAAACCCCAAAGCCAAGACTCCAAACCCTATGCCAAGGTGGCCAGGTTCAGAGCTGGGACGAAGAGCGCTTGAATGGCAGCCCGCTGCTGGATGCATGTCGAGATGCCAGGCCGGGGAGCGAAACCCTAAACCCTAAACCCTAAACCCTAAACCCTAAACCCTAAACCCTAAACCCTAAACCCTAAACCCTGCACCCTAAACCTTAAATCCTAAACCCGAAACCCTAAACCCCAGAAGAAGGATCCTCGTGGTCTGCAACAAGCTGGAGACTGGCTTCGATGAGCCGCGCCTGGCGGTAATGTACTTGGACAGGCGCCGGAGCTGTCCGTCTTGGGGGTTTAGGTTTAGGGTTTGGGGTTTAGGGTTTAGGGTTTAGGTTTAGGGTTTGGGGTTTAGGGTATGGGACTGAGGGTTGTTGGGGTTTGAGGGCTACGCCCTATGCCCTTAAACCCTAAAAACCTACTCCTTCAATCTCATCTTGCTTTGAATTTGCCTCTCTCCCCCACCCCTCCCCACTCCGACCCCCCGACCCCTTCTAGGCCCCAGGCCTGCCCTTTTGGGGTTCCGATTCTTGTATTTTTAGGGTTTAGGGGTTAGGGTTTAGGGTTTAGGGTTTGCGTCAGTCGCCGCAGCTGTCGAATTCCGAGCAGCAGCGATCGACGGAGCAACAGTGACGTAGGCCAACATAAGATGGAGCAGCAGGCACATCGTACATGCGCATGTGCGCAGGCACACGTTGGTCTGAGAATGGCAATTTGAATGGTAAGAGTTGCGTAACACTGGCAACACACAGTGCTCAGATGAGTACACGTAGTCAAGTACTACCACCGGAAGGTTGGCCGATATCCTGTGAAGAGTAGGAGCAGGAAAATGGTGAGACAAGTTTCAGATTAAGAAGCGCACGACTGGCTGCGAGTCCAAATCGAACGTGATGACTTGGGTTGTTCGGGGGTCTTTCCAGATCCCTTTCACAATCTGATTTTTTGTATCAGGAATCTAAAAAAGGCTCGAGTTTAGAACAGCCTCAGTATCTAAACCCTAAACCCTGAACCCTGAACCCTGAACCCTGAACCCTAAACCCTAAACCCTAAACCCTAAACCCTAAGCCCTAAGCCCTAAACCCTAAACCCCTAACCCTAAACCCTAACCCTAAACCCTAAACTCTAAACCCTAAACACAGGGAAGATGCGCTTACTTCAGCCGAGGTGCCTGACGAGCCCCATGAAGATGGTCCAGGTCTTGTCCAGGCTGGAGACGAGTTCGTGGCATTTTTTTGGTTTAGGGTTTAGGGTTGTTTAGGGTTTAGGGTTTAGGGTATAGGGTTTAGGGTTTAGGGTTTAGGTTTAAAGGTCGTGACGCTCAGTGTCTGGAGAGGTCGTGGCAGGGGGTCGGGCGAAGGGTCCCCCGGTCCAGCGATGATCCCAGTACCATCCTGCTAGGCTGAACCGATGCTGCCATGGCAAGCCTCACATCTTCGTCCGCGACTTTCATGGTGACTGGGCATTCACGTTGTTTCTTCACTTCTTCCGTGCCTGCGCAGTGCACTCTCACAGACAGCGATTTGCTTTCCATATCTTCTGCACCGTTGCCGGAACTACAGGCCAGGCGCAGGCGGCATCTCTGAAAATCTCTGCCTTCCGGCGGCGCGTGTCCTTGCGTGCGACGGCCGGTCAGGCATCACCCGGGGGGCAGGTTCAAGGTTCGTTCCCGGGTATCATAGTAGAATAGTACAATAGGATATTAGTATAGTAGTATAGTAGTATAGTAGTATAATAGTATAATAGTATAATAGTATAATAGTATAATAGTATAATAGTATAATAGTATAATAGTATAATAGTATAATAGTATAATATTATAATAGTATAATAGTATAATAGCATAATGGTATAATAGTATCTGCTTCGTGCGAGAATGTGGTCGGACATGCTCCAGGCAGAGGACGCCCAAGACATGCTCGCAAAGTACGAGGCGCTGATAAAGGTTTGTTAGTTTCACGGTGTGTCCACATCGAGGGTTATGAGCAGCGGCAGGGATCTCATAATATAATATGGAGTGGCTGCGATGTCCATGCAAAGCCAATCTTGTCTTGGGTGCATGTGACCAACACATTGCACCAGGAGAGTAAGTTCCACCGTAAAGACTCCTCCGCCAAACCGAACCCACAATCACAAGGCTGACGCCCTGAAGAGCTGTGCTAGGTAAGAGCTAGGTAAGAGTCTGCGATGCATTCTGTGATCTTCTCCAGGTGTTGTTTGTAGAACCCCTGGGTTTGGAAAGGGGAGTTCTTGAGTTCTCTACCCAGTGTAGCAGGCTCCCTAGACCCTAGACCCTAAAGCCCTAGAACCCCAAGACCCTAAACCCCGCAACCCCTGCCTAGACCCAAGATCCTAAACCCTAAACCCTAAGCCCTAAGCCCTAAACCCTAAACCCTAAACCCCTAAACCCTAAACCCTAAACCCTAAACCCTAAACCCTAAACCCTAAACCCTAAACACAATGTCCCGTTCAGGCACGGCTGGCCGAGCAGCTCGGCACGGGTCCGCCAGACCGCCTCGCCGCTGCTCTCAAGGCGTGCCTGTAAGGTTTTTTTTCTGGGCCCCCGGGGTTTCCGGGTTTAGGGTTTAGGGTTTAGGGTTTCGGGTTCAGGGTTTCGGGTATTTAGGAGTTTAGGGTTTCGGGTTCAGGTGAGAATTTCGGGTTCAGATTTCAGGGGCCACTAAGGGCTGAGGGAGCAGGGTCTAGGGTTTCGGGTTTACTGCTCTAGGTTGCTCTAGGTGTTCAAAAAGAGTCATAGATAGTTCGTGGGTCTACTTAAAGCAGGGTTTCGGGTTTCAGTTGGGGAGAGGAACGGGCGCTGTTCTTATCAGGGTCTGTATGTTAGGGTGCTGTTCAGTATCTGACAATTGCGTCCAATCAGCCTACGGGCTTACAAAGTAATTAAAACGTAGTTCACTGGTTTGCCACGAGTCTCTGATTACATGCCTCTTGTACAGTTGCAACCCCCCCTGTAGTTTCTAAGTTCGAGTTTGTTTCACCCGTGCCGCGCACTTTTCTTCGGATTTGGCGCTGAGTGAGTGTGTTCAGTATCTGAGCCTTCCCTTGAACGAGTGCTGAAACGACACCCTGCCCAACCGTGACCTAAGCCTTAAGCGTCAATGGCGAGAAGTGTTTCTGTGGGCCGAGCAGAACTTCGTTGACATTCGCCTTGCGTGGCAGCCAAATCTTTGAGCATCCTTGCAGGTTGTCTGTCAGATTTTGCGCGTGAGGTGTTTCTTTGACCATACATAGCTGGAGCTTGGCCACACATCGGGCATGCTTCCGAATTGTTAGAGCTGTTCTGGTAGGTATTCCTCTTGGGCTATAGTTTCTTCTCCACCCTTCATCCGTCAAGTTGCTTTAGTTCCTTCGAGCTTATGCGCTCGTGCGACCGATCTTTCATCAGTTTTCAGTTTGGATGTAGCTCGTCAGAACTATTCAGGACTATGATGTGTCAGTCTGGGCAGAATGGTAGCTTGAAGAGGCGCACAGACACACTGGATACCCAAGACAGAGAAAAAGTAAGCGGCACTAAGTCTTAAGCCCCTGAAGGCATATCGGCGACTGTGCTTCACGCTTGGCTTGCCATGCCGACAACGGCGCCTTGCTGGCGGGGCTGGGGTGGTTGAGGGTGAAAGGGTTCAGGGATGAGGGTTTATTTAGGGTTCAGGAACAACAAGCCTTCAGATCCTAAGACTTCGCAGGTAAGGGCCTTACGAATGTGTGTGTTGCCCCCTCGAACTTTGCAGTCTCTAGGAGCGCCTTGCGCAGCAGAAGCTGCAATCCACGACTTCAGAAATAAGTGGAGAGATGCAGGTCGCAGATCGCACGTTCCCACCTACCGTCACCTGCACCTCCCACCAAATTGCATCATGATCCCCGCACGGGGACCTGGTAGGGATTATCCACTAGAGGCGGCACGTTGAGGGATCGAAAGACATACACCCTAAACTCCTAAACCCTTAGCTCCCCCAAACCCTAAACCCTAAAAACCCTCAACCCTATACGAGATGGCCATACATGGCTTTGGACACCCTTCCTCTCGCCCAGAAGTGGCCCCCGAACTTTCCCCAGATTTGGGCACTTTGCAGTGGCAGAATTGCTTCTCAAGGGCTTTTCCAAAGCCTTTCTAAGGAGCTTTTCAGGCCTGCCACGAGCCAATTTTGGTTAGGGGGGGGGGGGGGGGTTCGTATTTTGTTAACTTTCAGGGCAAAGTGGTATTCGGAGGATGGGGGCTCAGGTTTCTTCTAGGGAAAGGCATATAGCCCAACAAGTATATCAAAGCCCTCAGCGTGCTAAGAATGACACAGTGGTGGTGTGCACGGAACGTTGGCGAACCCTAAACCCTAAACCCTAAACCCTAAACCCTAAACCCTAAACCCTAAACCCTAAACCCTAAACCCTAAACCCTAAACCCTAAACCCTAAACCCTAAACCCTAAACCCTAAACCCTAAACCTTGGTACCTATTTCCCTTCAGAGGCTTTGCAGCTGCGAGTCTGCGCGTCATGAAGGCCTGGTTCGGGAAAAAGGCCTTTGAAAAGGTTTGGGTCTTGGCTAGGGTCGTGCTGTGCTCAAGAAAGCCCTAAGCCCTAAACCTTCAGCCCTAAGCCCTAAACCCTAAGGCCGAAACTACACCCAAGCCCTAAACCCTAAGCCCTAAACCCTGAACCCTAAAACCTAAACCCTAGACCCTAAAACCCGAAGCCGCAAGTCCTGGAGAGGCTGCTGAAGCACCACAGGGGCCGGTCGTCTTCATTCAGGAGAAGGTGGGCCCAGGAGTCCTTCCTCGAACCTTATGTATGTATGTATGGGTATATGAGCACATGAATATACATATATATTTAAATATGTATGTATATATATATATATATATATATATATATATATATATTAACGGCTACCGCCAGTGCCGCCGACCCCAGACAGGAGGGCGGGCGGCAGGCCGGCAAACCGCAGAGCCAGTACAGGCTCCGAGATTTAGGGTTTAGGGTTTAGGGCTGTAGCAAAAAATGTTTAAAAAGAATGAGTTCTATGTCTATACACGTAGTATTTTAAAGTATATAATGAGTTTTTGGTAAACATGAAGACCAAAAGATAAAGGAGATATCTGTTAGTTATCTTTTATCTTTTTATATCTGTATAAAACCGAAATTCATATCTTTGGGGCTGGGGGCAGGGCGCTAAGGGCGGTGGGGGTGCGAGGGTGGGCATGCAGTGCAAGTGTGAGGGGTGATGAAGCAGGCAGCAGGCCTGCACTGTGTGAAAGCATTGGGGGGTGGGGGTGGGGGGGTGGGGGAGGTGGGGGGTTGGGGCGGGGTGGGGGGGAAATCTGTGGGAGGGTGTGGTTGGGTGGGCGTGGGTGGGGGGTTGTGCTTGCGTTTCTATTGTAGCTTTTTCATATTTGGGCATTCTAGCTGTATATGACAGACGTGTTTGCCTCAGGAGATGAACAAGGCCAAACATGCGGAAACGGGCAACACGCGGATGCCTTGGTACTGTTGTTGCGCAGTTTTGTGGTTGAATTGCTTGCTTTCTTGCTGATCGACGCAATGCTGTTTAATTAGTCTCAACTTTTGGTTTTGCTAGTTGTTTAGCACTGGGTCCTGCAGTAAACTGAGGGCGAACGGGCAGGATGCTTGCCTGCCAGCGTGGGGCACCTGTTGTGGATTGAAGGTTGAGGCGTTCGTGAGCTTGCACTGGAAGTCGAAGTTTTGAACCAGAGCCGACGAGCATGAAAAACAAAGAGGACAGTGTAATAGCGTTATAAGAGACTCCAGAAGTCACGACTTTGGCACCTGAGGCACCCGACGGGTCCTCCGTGTTCGTTGTTGCGGGCTTGGCTTTGTGTTGGTTTCACGTCTGTGCACGTACGTGACATGTTCAATATTTTGAAACTCCAGGCTTGTTTCATGAACTGGTCGTCTGTGGCCGATTCTTGCTTCTACTCAGGGCGCCACAGCAGGACTTGGACGTGCTGCGAGCGTTGGAGGACTGACAGACTGGTTGGTTTGTGTGTGTGAAGGTGTCAATATTGGGACTGGTCCGCGCACGCTTGTTGTCCACAACATCGGTGCGAAAGGCTTTGGGGGGGGCTGGGGAAGGGGGGGGAAGGGGGGGTGGGGGCGGGAAGGGCTGGGGGTGGGGGTGGTGTGCTGAAACCCCATTTTTTCATTGGGTGTTGGGGGGTGGGGGGGTGGGGTGGGGGTGGGGGGTGGGGGGGGGAGCGGCAAGCGCTTGGCGGACTGTCATAGATGAGGTGGAAGGTCTAAAAAGCAGTGGGTCTTCACTGACGCCGACTGGGGTCGGCGGAGATATATATATATATATATAGGTTTAGGGTTTAGGGTTTATTTTAGGGTTTCGGGTTTAGGGTTTAGGGATGTATTTGGTACGTATATGTAGATATGAGTTTCCAAGCTCCTTAACACCGCCCTAAATTCCTTAAACCGCCTTAGCGCCCCCCCCCCCCACCAAACGGCTTTAAACCCTAAACTCCAAACCCCAAAACCTTTAAACCTTAAACCCCAAAGCATGTTAACCCCAAACCCTAAACCCCAAACCCCAAACCCTAAACCCTAAACCCTAAACCCTAAACCCTAAACCCTAAACCCTAAACCCTAAAGCATGTTAACCCTAATCCCCAAAGCCTAAACCCCAAACCCTAAACCCTAAACCCTAAACCCCAAAGCTTCTCAACCCCTGGTAGGTGGCCCGGGATCTCTTGCATCAAGTGCAGTGCAGCAGCAGGTACGGAGGCCGCAAGAGGCCGCCGAGCTCAGGTTGTGCTTAGTTTAGGGTTTAGGGTTTAGGGTTTAGGGTGTAGGGTTTAGGGTTTAGGGTTTGCGGTTCGGGGTTTGGGGGTTTTGAGGGTCCTTCCAGTCGTGGTAGATGCTTGTTTCTGGCATCAGGAGCCATGGCGGAAGGAAGCGACACGTGGCGGCGGAAGCCTCAGATGTCACGTTGAGCACGCTGCAGCTAAAGCAGCGCACTTTAGGGTTTAGGGTTTAGGGTTTAGGGTTCAGGGTTGTTCACAACCATTTCAAGCAACTTCCGGTTCCGCTTTGGCTCCATGAGAGACTGTGTAGGGAAGTGCTTATCGTCCTTGTCTCTCTCATCTGCGCTGCCTTTCATAAGGTGGCAGCAAAGCTGCGAGCCAGATGGTCCATGTCACACCACACTGAGTAGACTGCAAAGCCTGTAGAAACCTCCATGACAGCCATGCCGGGTCCACCTGGGCCTTGTGTCCGGGAGGACCCTGGGTAGCATGAAATCCTGGCTCCTAAGCTAAAACCCACCTGAGATGAAGGCTTAGGGCTTAGGGCTTGGGGCTTGGGGCTTAGGGCTCTCGGTTTTCGGGTTTAGGGTTTCGGGTTTAGGGCACTGTAGCACTTTGCGGAGGAGCCTGGCGCACCGGGTTACTCCCTGGATGAAGTGCTGCGCAAGTCAGCCAGCTGCAATGCCTTGGAGTTGATCCCCCTCAACCTTACCAAAACCCCAGTGACCTCCCGGAAGCCCAGAAACCCCATGAAGCCCCATAAAGCCCCTTAAAGCCCCTTAAAGCCCCCCCCAAAATCACCCTGACGCCCCGTTGCCCGCCCTAAACCCTAAACCCTAAACCCTAAACCCTAAACCCTAAACCCTAAACCCTAAGCCCTAAACCCTAAACCCTAAACCCTAAACCCTAAACCCTAAGCCCTAAACCCTAAACCCCAAACCCTAAACCCTAAACCCGCCTTTTTCAGAGGTTCAAAGAGCAAGAGGCCCGGCTGGAAAGTGTTGTGAACCAACTGGCCTCTGAGACGCGCAGCTGCACGGAAGAAGCATGGGGAGCCCGAAGGGTCCCGGGTTTGGGGTTTAGGGTTTGGGGTTTAGGGTTGGGGGTTTAGGGTTGGGGGTTTAGGGTTTGGGGTTTAGGGTTTGGGGTTTAGGGTTTGGGGTTTAGGTCCTAGGATTTAGAGCCATAAGCTTTTTCTTACCCTCCACATGCCAGCTTCAGCACGGCGCGCTGAGCTAAGGGCGGCCGGGCACAGCGCCTTCCTGGTGAAGTTGCAGAGGGCCATCCAGGAGCCACTCCCCATGCCTTCAAACCAGGCCACCTCAGGGTTCATCCAACTACTTTGGGTTTAGGGTTTAGGGTTTAGGGTTTAGGGTTTAGGGTTTAGGGTTTAGGGTTTAGGGTTTAGGGTTTAGGGTTTAGGGTTTAGGGTTTAGGGTTTAGGGTTTAGTGTTGAGGTACCTTCAATAGGGTTATAACCATCGCGACCCTACTTATTACTTATTACCCTACTTCTAAGCACCCCGATGAACCTCCAGGCTAGGGGTGTTTGGGGTATTTTGGGGCCTGCACCGGCCACACCTTGCTCCGGAGACCCTGTAAAGAAGCTGTCTGCATTCTGGTAGTATGTACACGCAAGCGCATATGAGTATACAATCACGTACATGCATATGTATGATATGTATTTACGTATGTACAGATGTGTAGTATATATATATATATTAAATAGTTAAGTAAATAAATAAGTAAAATAAAATAAAGAACAAATAAATAAATAAATGTAAATAAATAAATCAATAATTATAAATAAATAAATAAATAAATATATATATATATATATATATATGGGTATACAAGCATTCGCTATAGAACATCCACGACAGAACCTCGGCAGGTTTTGTCCCAGACCACGCTGGAGATCCCCAGCAACCACGGGAACGACCCAGCCCCGGAGTTCAGCGCGTCTTTCGGACCCAGGGGTTTAGAGTTTAGGGTTTAGGCTTTAGGCTTTAGACTTTTAGGGCTTAGGGCTTAGGGCTTAGGGTTTAGGGTTTAGGGTTTAGGGTTTAGGGTTTAGGGTTTAGGGTTTAGGGTTTAGGCGAGCGCTCACGTGCATGGCCGGCACTTGCTTGAAGGGAAGAGGCGGCCGTGAGCTTGAGCGCACGGAAAGGAGTACCTTGAAATCATATGAGTGAGGCTCCGTATTGTGCGTCAAGGAAGATTCCCTCAACTCCAGACCCTAGGGTTTAGGGACCCTAAACCCTAAACCCGAGACCCTAAACCCTAAACCCCACCCCCTTGAGGACATGCTGCGCTTTTTCGAGCCAAGAGCCGGTTCAGGGACAAGTGCCTTGGACTTGAACCACGCCTGGTGTTGTGCAGGCCAAGGTTGATTTAGGGTTCAGGGTTCAGGGTTCAGGGTTTAGGGTTTAGGGTTTAGGGTTTAATTAGGGTTTAGGGTTCGGGGTTTGGGGTTTAGGATTGAGGGTTTCGGTTGACGAAATCAGATTAAGCCAGCACTCCTGAGTGCAGCTTCGGGGGGTTGGTTTCGGAACTCCTGAAACTCGCAACTCCCTCCCTTTCGACCCAGACGCCTGGGCGCCTAAAAGCTCAAAAGCTCCTTGGAGCCATAAACCCTAGACCCTAGACCCTGAACCCTAAACCCTAAACCCTAAACCCTAAACCCTAAACCCTAAACCCTAAACCCTAAACCCTGAACCCCAAACCCTGACCCCAAACCCCAAACCCCAAACCCCAAACCCCAAACCCCAAACCCAGGGCCGGGAGTGGCACCGTGGGCACGACGCCCAGCAGCCCTCCGCCCAAGAGCAGGGAGGGCGGGAAGGGTCGCAGCATCTTCCGCGCGGCCGGGGCTCCCAGCTGAGCCGTTTAGGGTTTAGGGTTTAGGGTTTAGGGTCTAGGGTTCTGGACTTCGGGGTTTGGGGGGGTTCGGGTTCAGGGTTCAGGGTTCAGGGTTTAGGGTTTAGGGTTTAGGGTTTAGGGTTCAGGGTTTAGGGTTTAGGGTTTAAGGTTTAAGGGTGTAGGGTTTAGGGTTTTGCTAGTTTCTTGAGTGGACCCCTCAGAAAGCGCGCCGAGGCAGACACCTGGTGGAAGTCTCTGAAGCAAGCCAACAAGGAGCTGTCTCCACAAGAAGGTGGACTCAGGGCAGACCCTAAACCCTAAACCCTAAACCCTAAACCCTGAACCCTAAACCCTGAACCCTGAACCCTGAACCCTGAACCCTGAACCCTAAACCCTAAACCCTGAACCCTGCAAGGCGGGAGCCTGACAGACAGAATGCGTGGCTTCCTCTCAAGCTCCTCGGCGTTTCAAGGTGTGTTCTGTTCTCAGGTTCTTGTGCTTCGTTGCGCTCCGGGGTTTAGGGTTTAGGGTTTCGGGTTTGGGGTTTGGGGTTTAGGGTTTAGGGTTTAGGGTTTCGGGTTGGGGGTTTGGGGTTTAGGGTTTAGGGTTGAGGGTTTGGGGTTTAGGGTTGAGGCTTCTCTATCTCCGGACTCTGGTCACATCGCTGTTCTGGTCAGTTTCCTTTGAGCGTCTGCTCCCAAATCGTAGGGTTTAGGGTTTAGAGGGTTTAGGGTTTAGGGTTTAGGGTTTAGGGTTTAGGGTTTAGGGTTTAGGGTTTAGGGTTTAGGGTTTAGGGTTTAGGGTTTAGGGCCTGCGCTGCTTCTTGGGCTGGTTGTGCTTCGCGCAGCTCGCTGAAGTACGGTCCTTGCTTGGATACCCAGCATAAAGGCTGCAGATTATAGTATAGTCTAGTTTCTTATACCAGTAGTATATTAAGGTCTATGACAGCATATTCTAGTGTGTATGTATATATATATATATATCAAATAAATTGTTGTAGTCTATTGCAGTACAATACAGTCTACCATGAATAATACGATATTAAAAAATATCCCCGTATGAAATCGTATAGTATGGTATATCCTAGTGCATGATGTTATATGAAAGAATGTTATAGCATATTAGTATGTTATAGTATATTTTAGCTCTAAATGCGGGGCCATGAAACCAACAGCCTCCTTCGCCAGGCTTCTGGGCCGACGTGGCGCTCGGCTTTGCCTCCCGCAGAAAGCTAGTTCAGGGTTTAGGATTTAGAATTTAGGGTTTAGGGTTTAGGGTGTGGGGTGTAGGGTTTAGGGTTTAGGGTTTAGGGGAGAGGGTTACCAGTTCTTCTTGTAGGGATTCGGGAAATCATGTCCCCACATTGCAGGGATTCGGGAAATCATGTCCGATATCCCCTTCTATACCCCTTCTAGGGATTCTCTAGGGAACCCGCCTCCCTAACTTCCTACTTCGGAGCCTCTTTGCCCAGGTGATCGCTGCAAACATGGTGGCTTCTTGGAGCAAGTGGTGCCTGTGTCGTGCGGACATGTGAAGGATAGGAACGAGACACTATGACCCCACCCGAAATCCTCGAAGCCGCGAGAGCGAGAGGCCGACTTTTTTTGGGGATGCCTTGAAGAAACCCTAAGCCCTATATAATTTAAACCCCAAACCCTAAACCCCAAACCCAGGTCATGTTCTGTGAGCACCAGTGGTCCGGCTACGAATGCGCGCGGGCTCTGGGGAAGCGGAGCGATGATGGCGGCTGGGAGCCGGGGATTGCAGAGTTGATTCCAACTGTCAGACCCGTTTAGGGTTTAGGGTTTAGGGTTTAGGGTCTAGGGTTTAGGGTTTAGGGTTTGGGGTTTAGCGCTTAAGCTAGATTTTATGGTGGTTTGTGTAAGCTCCCTGTGTTTTTTGAAGGTTTCTTATTGATGTCACAATCTCCGGTGCCCACAGCACTCTTCCATGTTTTCCTAAACCCTAAACCCTAAACCCAAAACCCTAAACCCCAAACCCAACACCCTAAACCCTAAACCCTAAACACAAAGTGCGGTGAAATGAATCTCAGGCCGAGGCGGAGACCACTTTTGAGAATCTCGAGATCCTCTTCGTTTCGAGCCATGGCCTCCAAAAAGGAAATTTGTGAAGCAGCTAGGGTTTAGGGTTTAAGGTTTAAGGTTTAGGGTTTAGGGTTAGGGTTTAGGGTTTAGGGTTTAGGGTTTAGGGTTTAGGGTTTAGGCTTCAGGGTTCAGGTTTATTTTTTAGGGTTTAGTGAGGGTTGGGGCCGAAGGGCCCGGTAGAAGCTTCGCAAGCTGCG